CTCCCTCCCTTCCTCCCCCTTCCCAGCCTGGCCTCACTGCCGGCCACAGCCACAGCCCTAACAGCCCATCAAGGGTTGGGAAGACCCCCTTTACAACTCCTCTTTCCCCTCCAATGCAGACCAAGACTGATTAAGATAATTCAAGCAAGAGAACACCCTGGTTTCAACACCCTGTGCATGTCCAAGGGGTGGAGAACAGAGTGAAAGTAACAGGGTGACAGAGGTGGAAGGACAGGGCTCGGGGTCAGGGAAAAAGCTTGGTGTTTCAGAGGTGGAGGAACCACGGGCAGTGACAGAGTCCATGGCATGAGTGCCAGGCAGAGTGGAGCAGAGTGTGCAGGGCCGTGGATCTGCAGAGCCAGAGTGATGAAGGAGGTGTTCGCATGGACACTGAAGTCGGCCAAGGACGTGGTGAGACAGATGGATTTAGTGCGCACACTGCGAGCTGTGATTTCCCGGATGCAGAGCCCCGAAGGCTGCCTGGCCCCAGCTGCTTGCTTCCTAGGAACGTTGCGGTCCGTGGTCCCTCATTAGTCTCTTCTGCTTCTGCACTGGACTTGCAGAGATGAACCAAGTTCTCTGCTAACGATTTTAATGCCCACTTGATTTTACTCAAATGTGTATAATCCAGAAAGATGGTGTAAACTTCCCTCAGGGGAAAAGATGGCAAGTGCCAAAGGAATTCAGATTCATGGCTGGCCCTGTCCTCAGCCCAGTGAGATGCAGCTCGGAGACTTGCCAGGGCGGTACTGCAGGAGCAGAGCCCCAGAGGCCGTGGCAGCCCGAGTGACTGCCCCACAGTCCCGGCCTCGTCCCTGGAGATGGCCTGCATTGCACTGCATTGCCTTTCACTCCACTGCATTCTGCTGCACTGTATGGCATCGCATTGCATTCCATGACTTTGCATTCCTCAGCATTCCGTTCCACTACATTCCATTCTAGCCTCTCCATTTCCAGGCTCTGGAGAGCCAAGTGCTAAGAACTGATGAGGATAGAAGGGGCCAATTACTCTGAGCTATTTCTGGGGCACATTAGGGCTCCTTCCCCTTACTTGGTTCAAGCATTGAAGGCACTCAGGGATCCAGGGAGCGATGGCCAAGGGGACTCCCCAACAGTAAGGTGAGTCTGGAGAGTTCCCAGAGACCACAGTGCTCATTTCCAACATCCTGTTTCATTTCCACACACTGAGGAACAGCTGACTGCATGAGTCAGACGGATACTTAGTCAGTGGGAGTTGCCTTCAATCTCAAGGAAGCTCTGCTCCTTGCCCAGGTGATGTGCTGACCCAGTGACCAACTGGATGACCTTGTGTCGCCCTCTGGTTTTAAAGTTTTGTGTTTTGTGAGTAACTCATAGTTGCTTGTAAGAGGGGAGGGGAAGGGAGAAGACAGGGATGGAGTGCTTTTCCAAAGGACCTTCCAGAGGAAATTTTTCCATCTGTGGCTCTGCCTTCTTATTTCGTGTTCAATGAATATACAGCCAGGTATGTCTGCTGGCCAAGATGATGGAGTAAAAGGTGAAAATTCAGGGGGGACTGAAGCCAGTTCCACTGGGTTGAGATCCCGGAACCACAGGCAGAGAGACCTGGAATAAGTCACATAACCTCTCTGATCCCCACTTTCCTTGTCTGGGAAATGTCTGTGCAAACCCACAACATTTTGGTGGACAGGACGATGCTCTGACCACCTGAGCCACCTGGCTAGGGCTCTCCTTTCTGATTAAAAAAAAATCTCTACACTAGAGTCAAAACTATTCTGACATATTGTCTTCTTAAAGCTTAATTTTTTCACATGAAGTCTTCCATCTATTACTAATTGATTATTTTATATGGCTTGAAGTAGGGATACATTTTTTTCCAGGTAGTAACCAATGATCCCAACAGTACTTATTGCTTAGTACCCGTGTCTGGTAATGATTTCTTGGTCACACATCAAATACGCGTATAAGTATAGCTTGTATCCCTGGTCTGTGTGTCTGGTCCTGCACGAACAGCACAGGAGCTCAACCACTAGAGCTGTATAATAAGTTTTGATGTTGTGGTATAAACTGCAACAGGTTTTTTTCTTTTTCTTTCATAAAGCAAGTGCCTTACTGGAGCTTTGATTTCCAAGGCATCTATTTCAGAGTGGCATCTACCTCCGTGGAGGCTTTTTTAAATAAACACATTGCCAGTCATGCCTTACTCAAAGGGTTGGGCTGCCTCCCCAACTGAGTTTTCTTTGTTTTAGAGATCTTGACTGATTTCAATAACTGACCATTTTGGGACATTTTCTTCCCTGCTTTAAATTCCCTCTCTTATGTTTTAAATTCACCGATCAAGAGTGAACCCAGGCAGCCCTGGGCCCACAACCTTGCTGTGTGGCCCCGGTGGGCTGTGTGATTCCCAGGTCCTGGGAGTAATGAACTTTATTTTTTCAAAGTTTCTTGGTGGCTTTTGCCAAAGGGTATCTTGTAGTCATAATAAGAACCACAAAGCCGGCTCCCACTGCATCATTCACGATACTCTGAGGGCAATGCAAAACCGGTATCCGGTGGCTGATCCCTGCCCCCTTCTTTTTCAGAAGGGTCTTGGCTATATTTGTGCCTTTCAGCTTGTCAAGTTCCTTGAAAAGCTTATAGAATTGACTGAATACATAGAAAGAACTGACACTGTATAACAGTAACTCTGCCTACTCATGGACCTGCATACCTCCTTCTTTATTCAGGCCACCTTTAATATCTTTTGACAAAGTTTTATAATTTACTTTATATAGATCTCCCACATATTTTGTGAAATGTATTCTTAGTTAACTTGTTAAATCTCCTGTTGAGATTATTTGCAAAGATTGTTGCAATAATCCCTACCGTCCCTTTGCAATGCTTCCTGCCCCTCCAGGAAAGAAGTGGAATATTTTTCTGCACCCCTTGGAGCTAGGTCCCTTTGCAATGCTTCCTGCCCCTCCAGGAAAGAAGTAGAATATTTTTCTGCACCCCTTGGAGTTAGGCTGCTTTGTAAATTACTCTGACCTGCAGAATTTGGGGGCAGTGACACCATGGAGCTTTGAAGTCTAGGCCTCAAGAGGTTGTGCAGCTTCTGCTCTTGACCTTGTAAAACACAGCTCTGTGACTACCATGTGAAGAAGCTGTTTAGCCACAGAGAGCAGAGATGAGCGGTTCTAACTGAGAATTTGAAAACTTACTTGCCAACAGCCAGTGTTCATGGATGTGCCCGTGAGTGAGGCCGTTGTCAGCATCCAACTCCAGCTCAAATTGCCAGGTGATACTGTCACGTGAGTGACTTCACACAGCACCAGCAAATGAGTGGCCAGGCCGTGTCTGGCCCCAATTACTGACACAAAGAATGTGTTGAAATAAAATGATCATTCTTTTTTAAGTCACTCAGTTTTGGAGTGGTCTGTTACAGACCTATGAAGAACTGAAGTATGCTAGTATTCTGTCTAATAGTTCATAGATGTTTCTGTGTTTTCTATGTAGAAAAATCATATACTCTAAATATAATGACATTTTTGGTTTTTCATTTCCCACACTTACACGTTTTTGTTTCTTTCTTGCTTTACCAGTTCAATGTTGAATACAAGGGATGATCATAATTTCATATTTTTCGTCTCCTTGTTTGTGTGCCTTATTCTGAATCATTTCTTCACATACATCTTCCAATGAACAAACTCTTTGTCTATACTTAATGTGCTGTTTCATTTGCACTTTATTTTAATAAGTTATATTTTTACTTATACGAATTCTATTTTGTTTATTTTCAAATCTGGTCACTTTTGCCAGTCTCTGGCTGCTTGTTAATTTTTGCGATTTTGCCTTTTATTTATCTAATATAATTGCTTTATATTTTATCGCTGATAAATCTCAGCATCCAAAGGCCTTGGGGGTCTGAGTCTATTGCTGCTTAGTCTGCTGACTCATTCATGGTGATGTGTTTGCTTCTGCATTTACTGACCTTTCACCGCAAACTCTCCTGTGGTTGGTCTCAAGCTCTGAAAATTTTAGGATTTACTTTTCTCCAGAGAGGATTTGCATTTTTATTTGAGAAACCTAGGATACTGCCAAGTGGGGACCCTTTCCGGGACACCAGCTAATGCAGGAGTCTCAGGCCCAGCTCCCCCACCTTGTCCCTGGTCCACTACCGGGCTGTACAGACATTTGTCCCTGGGTCACCCACGTTGTGTGAGGGCTAAGGGCGAGCTCTCATACACACTGATCCTTCTGCCTGGAACATGCACTCTTTCATCATTTTTTCTCCACCTGATTAAGTAATCTTTCTATTGCAAGACTAAGTTCAGGCCCATTCTTTCCCTAGATACCCTAACCCGGGTTAGACAGCACTCATATGCTCCCAGCACAGCCTGCATCTACCTGGGCTGCCACTGCATCCTCCATCCTGTATTGTAACAACCTGCTGAGCTGCTTACCTGTCTGTCTTCCTCCCTGAGACCTCATTTCCGTAGGAGCCAGGGCAGAGTTAGGCTGTTTCCCCAGTGTCTATCACAGGGTCTGGTCCAAGGTCAATTAACAAGTGTTTTTGAATAAACGAAAAAAATACCTAAATGGATGAATGGGTGAGTGAGTGATGGTTTTGGAATGGACAATTTGGGGGGTTGCAAAGAGGGTGGAGGATTGTGAAGGAAGAGGAGAAGAAAAAAGGGAAATGACTCATGTTTGAAAGTTTGTTTTGTTCTTCTTGCTTAAGTGGAAGAGAGTCGCCATTTCATTTGGTCAAAAGTTTATTGAGCATCCAGTATGTGCTAGGCACTCTGCTAGATGCTAGAAATACAAAGATGAAGATCCAAACAAAATAAAATAAAAACAAAACCGACTTCCTTACTCTCCCACCCTTCAGCCCGCTCTCCCCACCCACCCCAGGCAGATATGGCTGGAGCCTGGGAAGCTGGGCCTGGGCCCCAGGGATTCAGCAGCAGGACATGGAGCACAGCAGGGCTCTCAACTCCTCTCATGCTATCCTCCACCCCCGCCTCTCAGGGCCGACCAGCATGTACCCCTTCTCCAAGTGCTGCACCTCTCATCTGCCTGAGCAACCTACCCTGTGTGCATTACCTCTGGGTGAGGCACCTGGGGAGGTTAGGAGAGCAGTTCTGGTTAACCACGGACTGCAGCCCAAATGAGCAGGCAAGGGCTGCTGGGCCGGGGGAGCTGCCAGGTAAAGGTGGAGGGCTCAGCTGGAGATATTTTTGCTCTTGGGACTGGGACAAAACTTGCTCCAGTGTGAAGGGTGGGGCACAGGGGACTTGGGAATTGCTCTGTGAGATGGTGGAGAGCTGGAGCTGGAGTTTAGGAGGTTGAGGAGGGGCCAGGGATGCAAGTACCCCCAGAGGCACCAGGGATCAGAGGTCAGAAGACCCAGAAGGTCTCCTCCTTCTGCTTTTTAGTTGCCCTCTCTCCTCACACAGTGGATTATTGTCTCTCCTACAAACTGTTCCACAGGCGGGGGCATGGGCAGGGCCTGGCTACACAGTGGCCAGCTTCTCTGAATTCTGCTGTTGGTGTGGTTAGGGAGTCTGCCCTTCTCTTGTCTCTTGGGATCTCAGTATCTGGGAGCAGTGCAGGGAGGAGGCAGGAGGCCAAGGGCTGCCTCATATCTTCCTCATGTCCTGGGGAGCAGTGAGCCTCCCTCCCCCACCCCCACCCCCCATTTCTCTGCAAAGACAAATCTTAGTCTCTCGCAGCTGGAGGGAGCTCAACAGCCTTTCCGGGAGGAATGATTGTTGAAAGGCTTGTGTTGTAAGGAAATGGGAGAAGGCGTAGGTGTGAGGGTTAAACACAGTCCTTCACTTCATCTAGCTGCCTGGGCCAGGGGAGGGCGAGCGAAACCCCTTCCCTCTAGAAACAGACGCTTAAGAACAGCGCTCTGCAGACACTGGAACTGGCATTGGACTTTGCTTAGTTCAGACTGTTGTGCGTTTTGGGCGGAAGGCCTCTCTCATCTGGGCTTGCGGGAAAGAGTGCGCTAGTCCTTCAAAGGGGAGGGAGGTGCGCTGGGAAGCAGGAGAGCTCCCTAGGGAGGGCACGGGATGGTAACAGGAGTTAGATTACTGATGTTAGTTTCCCTAAGACCTTTGAAGGACTGCACAGGAAATGTAATAATCTATATGGTCCTAAGGGGTACAATCTGTATCCACCGGGAACACTGCCGGTGAACCGGAATCAAACGCGACCCGGTTTCCTCCCCAAATCACTCTCTGGCGCCCCTCTGCGTCCTCCATCTGCACTCGCTCACCCAAGTCCTCAGACGAGACCCGAGCACCCCGAGCGCCCCCGCAGGGACCTCCCCTCATCCAGCTTTGCAGCCTCTCCCACCACCCCGGCGGGCACCCGTGAGGGAGGGCGGGTCCCGGACGGTTCAGGCGCTGATCCCCACCGGGCCGGCCTCCTCCTGCTCCCGGATCAGGCGCGCGCCCGCAGTCCGGAGTGAGCGCGAACGACTAGGCGAGCCGGGCGCCCTAGACGGCGACGTGTGCGTCCGGCCCGGGGCAGGGGAGGGCACCGGCGAGCGTGGGTACCGGCGGGCAGAGCGCACCGGCAGCCCGGGTGAGCGGCCGGGAACTGCGGGTGACACGGAGTAGGCGGGCGGGCCTGGCTCCGTTGCGCTCCGGGGCTCGGTCGCAGGCTCCTCCTCGGTCTCCGGGGCGTCCTGCAAGGACATGTGCCAGGGTCAGCGGCCAGAGGCCAGGGCTAGGGGCGCATCTGGTGGTGTTCCAGGGCGCCAGGAACAATGAAGTGAAGGAGATAGTTCTCTACATCCTCCCACCTCTTGGAAGGAGGCAGACAAAGGTCTGATTTTCCTGTTTTGTTTTTGTTTTTGTTTTCAATGCACAACACTTAGCATGGTGCCTGGCAGGTAGTAGGTGTTCAGTAAATACTGAAATGCATTAACTTGAGTGCTTTGTCTCCTTATTGTCCCCTTGCCACCTGTCTCTGACAGCCTGGGATAGAGTTAGTTATGGAATAGAGTTGGTGTCCAAAGACCTAGGCTGGAAGCCTGGACCTGTCACTTAGTTCCTTTGTTGATCCTGGGCAAGTCATTTCACTTTTGTCAGCCTTATTTTTCTAATCTATAGAGTGGAGATGGCACGAATACTTCTCATGTTATTCTGAGTTCTATTAAGGGATATCCCTGTGGTATGGCTTCGTAATGCCAGGACGCGGCAGGGGCCCGCAGTGCGTGTGAGACACCCAGCCCAGAGCTGCTCACCTTGTCCTTCAGGATGTAGAGTGCCATGGGGTTCTTTCGCTCCTGCTCCGCGCTTCGGGGAAGGGCATCTGCTGCACAGGACAACGGATGGGGTGGCTGGCCCGGTACGGGCCCTCTCCCCATCAGTCAGCACCTATATGCTGCTCCCCAACTGTCCAGCCAAGTCCCCACCACAGCTTCCACCAAAGGCTCAGCAACAGGTGGGCTCCTACCTTGGCCGCACCGCTCCCTGCTCTGTAGTCTTCGAGCTGTTGGTGGAGGAAGGGGCCCTGCAGAGCCGGCTTCCTTGTGGCCCACTTCCGCCTTTTCCCAGCAGCCTGCTGGTCTAGGTGAGGACTGGACCGGCGAGTGGGCCGCCGGGAGCTCACCTTCTGGTTTCAGGCCATCATCATTCTGATCCATGTATTCCAGGGAGTTTTGTTTCTCCAGTTTCCTCTTCTTTCTGTAAACCCACCCAGCAACCCATGAACACAGCTGCCGAGTGTGAGCAGGAGGAGGTCTGGGGTGGGGGACATAGGCAGTGCGATGGCCTTAAAAGAGGCCTGAAAACAGGAGGATGGGCTGGAATGAGTCACATCTAAGGCTGCCTCCTGCTGGTTGCTAGCTGTGGTGACTGTTGGCGAGCCATTTAACCCATGTGAGTGCCATTGTCCTTATCTGTAAACTGCAGGTGGTCATACTTAAAAGGTAGCGCACTAATGCCAACCACAGTGCCCAGCCCACGAAAGGTGCCCTGCAAGTGGAACCATTGTTAACAGTGCAGGGCTGTCGGGGGCTGTGAGCACAAGGAATGATTCCATTCACGGTACACACAGTGGTGAGAGGGCTCTCCTGGGAAGAAGTGCAGGGCCCTGGGAAGAAAGCCATTTAAAGAGACTTAAGAAGAGAGCTTGGGGTTGTGGATGGAAGGGTTGGGGTGCTCAGGGTGTGGAACTTGAGAAGTTACCCAGACTTTTTGGAGGGTTTCCAGCAGGCACAGACCGTCACCAGAGTCACAAGGAGGAAGATGCCTCCTGTGGACAAGATGATGTAGAGCGAGCTTCTTCCTAGGGAGAGAGAAAGGCGGAGAAGTGAGAGAGACTTCAGAGGAGGCGCCAGGTGGGGTGAGGAGGACTTCCTGCAGGGGATGGAAGAGCAAAGGAGCCCCTGGTGGCATGGCTGGCCCACAGCAGAGCGTGCCCAGAGCCCGCTCCCCAACTGTTGCCGTCCTCTATGGAAAGTTGGCCCCATCTCTCTCTCCCTCTGTCTGGTATGTCCGTAGCCCCTCATGGGCACTGTCAGGGCTTTGAGTCCTAAAGGGAGGGCAGGCAGGGGGACTCACTGTACACAGTGATTTTGATGGGCAGGCTGCGGCCCTGGCTGATGGGGTTCTCCACCACACAGCTGTACAAGTCGTCGTCCTCCATGAGCACGCGGGTGATGGTGAGTACCTTTTGGTCAGGGGACAGGAGCATTCGCGAGTCATTGAGGAGAGGCTTGCCGTCTTTCAGCCAGGTGTAGCTGGGCTTGGTGCCGTTCTCATGAGAGCAGTTCAGGGTGAAGGCTTCGCTGAGCTCCAGCACAGTGGTCGAAGCCACTAACACCTGTGGCCTTGAAATGGGCACTGAGCCCGGGTAGGGGAGCCTGTGAGCCATGGGCCAGAAAGCTTCTCCCTCCCCCCTCTTAGCCACCTTCAACACAGCACAACTCAATTTGTGGTTGGAGAGGCCCTTCAGAGATCGGTAGTCAAGTTCTTTACCTCCACCCACCCACCCACCCACCCACCCACCCACCCACCCATCCCGTCCATCCATCCATTTATTCACTCATTCACTCACCCATTTACCAGCTATTTATTGAGCATATGCTAAGCACAGGAGGTACAATGCTGAACAAGACAGCCATGGTTCCTCCCCTCATGGACCTTCCCTTCCCTTCCCCCCAAATACCTTTCCGAGATGTCTTAAACTGACCCAGTGTGGAACTACGAAGCCTAAGTCCCACTGTCCGGGCTCAGATATTGGCTCGATCACTTACTAACTGCATGACTTGCACAAGTTACTCGACCTCTTTGTGCCTCAGTTTCCTCTTCTGCAAACGGGGCTGATGATATTAACTATCCATAGATTATTATGAGCATTAAATGAGTCGATATATGCAAAGCCCTTAAAATAATTTCTGGCATGTAGCAAGCACTCTTATCATATTTACTGTACCCTCCTATCTGCTAATTGCTAACGTCCAGCCGGCTCACTCCCAACTCCCAGGGGGGTTGGGCCTCGGCTTTCCCAGCCTCCAGCAGACCCTGTCCAGTCCCAGGCCCATCCCTTCCCTTCTAGAGCGTGTTACCGTCGACAGTGAGGTTGATGGTCTTCTCCCCCGTGAAGGTGTCGTCAGTGATGGAGATCTCGACCTCGTAGGTGCCCTCATCCGCCAGCTGCAGGTCGCTGAGCAGCAGGGAGCCATTTTCAAAGAGGCGGATGCGGTCTCGGTAGTCGGGCCGCAGGGTGCCGATGACCTCTGTGCCAATGGACTGTACCACGGTCACTGGCTTGTCCCTTTTCAGCTGCCACTTCACCACAGGCTTGTCACTGCTGGTGCTGCTGTACTGCACGGACAGCAGGGCCGACTTCCCCACCGTGCCATGGATCAGGCGGACCGGGCTGGTGATGTTCACCCCCTGCAGGGGCTCTGGGGACAGAGGCCCACAGGCAGAGGCCAGCAGCATCAGGCGCTTGGCTCCCACTCCACTCCCACCTCTAAGTTCTCTGATCTCTTTGTGCCTCCCTGTTCTGGGCCCATCACCCCTGTCAGCCCTGCCTTCTTAGTCTCTGCTGCCATCTGTTCCTCCCTGGGCGGTGGGCACCTCTGCTCCTCCGTCATCCCTCACACCCATTCAATTGCTCTTAACCTTTCATCTATTGGCCCTCTGCCTCTGGCACTTTCCCTCATTGGCCTCCTCTTGAGGAAGATTCCAGCTCAGCCACGCCCTGTGTGCTCCATTTATAGAAATATTCATTGAGTACTTACCATGTGCAAGATGCTATTCTACATCCTTGGGGCACATCAATGTGCAAAACGAACAGACGAAGTCTTTAACCCCAGTAGCTTATGTCATTAGACCTTAGGGTGAATGTGTCAGGGTTTCTTCTCGGTTGGGAATTGGGAGAGTGAGGTGAGTGGAGCCATGGAGAAAGCATGGGGACAGAGATCCACAAAGAAAGGGCTATGTGACAGGACAGTGCCAATAAAGGGGAGTTCAGGGGCCAAAGACAACAGGGCCACCCTCCAGTCAGACCAGCAGCCTCTCCTGTCCTTGCCTCAACTGCCTGCAGCATCTTACCAGGCCCACCCAGTGCAGAGCAGCCCTGTGACTGGGTGGACGGTTTTGGAGATTCACCCCAACTCCAGCCCAATGTGTACTGTATCCCCTTTAGCAGAGGGATTTAGTGGGCAAAACCGGAAGTGTGGGCTCAGCGGGCCTTGTGAGCTTGGGCTCCGCCAAACAACTGGCTGTGGGTGGGTTTGGGCAAGTCGCCTTTCTAGGCCTCACTCTCCTCGTTTAGAAAACAAGGATAATAACAGCAACAAGAGCAACTGCTGTGTCAGGTTCACAGTGGGAAAACCTAGTGTGTGTGTCAGTTGTTGTTGTGTAGGGCAGAGGACACAGAGACTTGGGCCCCATTGTTGACCTGGGAGAAGTCACTCATGTGTTTGGGGCTCAGGTTTTCCGTGGGTCCAAGGAGTGGCGATCCACGTGATTTCACCGGTTTGTTTCTGCCGGTAATTGTGGGATTTTACCATCTTGCCCATGGCTGCCCCAGTGGCTGCCCCGTCCAGAGCCACATCTCACACGTCAGGGATGTCTGAGGCACTCTGGGGCCCGACACGTGCTGTTCGTTGGAGTCACCTGCTCACTTGTAGAGCAGAACCGCCACCTGAAGAAGAGCCTTCCGAAGAAGATGTCAGTTGGGAACGGGGCTGAATTGAGCTGGACGGACACGTATATGTCAGGTCTCAGTCCCTCTGTGTCCCCAGCTGTCTCTTTTGACTGTCCCTGCCTCTGAAGTTTCCTCTGTCCTTCTCCTCCCTATCTCCCACTCTGCTACTGCTGCCGTCTAGGTTTGGGAAGCTGCGCTGTCTCCTGCCATTCCTCATTCCTCTTCTTGTGCTGAGAGGACCCAGGCCAAACCTGGAGGCGATCAAACTAAAAGGTTAGTCGTGGAGATCAACGTAAATTTAACTGAGCTCAATGAACATGTTCAATCCATTTTTAGAACAAGTGTTTTGTTAAGTAGTGAGCTCATCATTTTTGAAAGTGGTCAAGAAAAGGCCAGTTGACTATTCTTTCATGTCTTTCTGCCTCGGTTCCCACCTCTGTATAATAAGGCGGTGGGACCACATGATCTTTAGGGGCCTTTCAACTCTGATATTCATTACCTGCCTGGTAGACTAGAATCATAAAACCTTCAGTGTAGAAGCAACTACTCATGACTAAAGCTGGCATATGTATAAATATTTTGTGCTTGTTATTGAGGAGTCCATTTGGGGGAGAAGAATGAATAATTCAATTCTTTTCAAACATTCTTATTAAAGGTATTTTTGTTCCCACAGAATCTTATATAAAAATAACAGAAATGAGTACTGAGGGGGTGGGCTGGGATGGGAGTAAAAACCAGAAAACTGTACTTGAACAATAATTAAATAAATAAATAAAAATGAAAGAAATGAGATCTAGCTCCAGCTCCCCTGATTTGGCGGAGAAGGTGGTGGGTGCCCGAGTCCTGTCCTCCACGCTAACTCGGAAAGTTACTAGGAATCCCTGTGACTCTAGATCAGACCGAAAGCCATCTGACTGCGTGATCCTTAAGATTTCTTCCAGTTCTAGTTTCTGTGATTATTGACCTGCCTGGCAACGGCTAGGTCCCAGACTTGATTTGATTTAGAAAAGCAAGCCTTCAACTTTCCCTAAATAGACAAATAGGCTTGGTTAAGTGTGATCGGGGTGGCCCCAGACGAAATCATTGTGTCCCCCAAGTCCATGATGGTGATGATCAAATAGTTGGGAAATACTTAAGCTCCTGCCTCAGGACCCAGTTCGGAACAGTGGGGTGTGCATGTGGGGGTTGTATCTGCAGAGACCTCCTGGGGCTGAGGAACCCCAGGCACAAACTTTGAGGGTCTCATTTCCTCTCTCCAGGAGACTGGACAGTGACAGTCCCAGAGCCGAGGAAAAGTAGAAGGTGTTCTATCTCCCTTCTATCTTCGCTGGCTCTCTCTTGAGCTCCCCCCGAGTGTACTCTCTCCTATCCCCTGCAAGGTCCTGCTGATCCTTCTGTGATGTCTTTCCCCCTCAAGCTTGCTCTTTCTACCAACTTAAACTTGATTTCTTGGGGATGCAAACACTGGAGAAGCTACAGCACATGGATTGCCCCAGGCCTCACCCTCCTCTAGATGGGAGCCTTCCCCCTGCCCAGGACTCACAGGGGTATGCCTGAGCGTCAGGAATAAATGGAGCAGTCTTTCTCAGAAGCTGACAAAGAGAGCATTTTGCCCAGCAAACATTGTTTCCCAAAATTCTTGCCAAAACTGGAGTCTGTATGAAGGTCAGGGTACCACCACTTTCAAGGGTCACAGAGAACTGGGACAGACGCCAAGGCAGGACACAGAAATGAGGAAGCGGCTGACAACTGTGTTCCGCTGTAGGAATAAAAGGGACTAGGACTAATCAACCTTGAGAAGTGATTAACTTAATTACTGTCCCTTAGTCTCTGAGGCATCATTTTGTAGGAAGTTTCTCTTCCCCCTGGAGGCTGAACAAAAGGAAACGGACATTGCCTCAAGATGTACCTGTCACCTTAAAGAGTGCCACACTGGGTCAGGTAGGTGGCTTTCTTCAAGTGGGATTTTGACCTGCTGTGACATCAGGCCATGTCAAGCTTTAAAGGATAAGAATATATTTGCCAATAGCCTTGGGTTCCCCTAATAGCCTCTTCCTGATCCTCTTTGCTTGGCAAAGGTTTCCATTTACTGGTATTTGCCTTAAATTTACCTTTTAAAAGTGTCAGGGAGACGGTGCCAAACATGTATTGTAGGGCTTGGTCTGTATACACCTGATCCACAATCTCTGACACCACAGACCACAGTTATATCCCTTTCTCAGGTGAAGGACTTTTTGTTCTGTTTGAATCTGTCTCCACAGGGAAGTCCCTCCATCCCCTTCGACTTCCCTTCATGGACGCCCTTCTCTGGGCTTTCTCCAACTCTGTTATTTCTTTTTTTAAGATGTGGTTTCCAGAACCATATACAATAATTCAAGGTCAGTACACAGCATTGTTTTCTAGAAGAAAAAATATTGCTTTCTGATTTTTTTCTTCAAATCCAATTACTACGTCTCAGTGGGGGAGTACTAATGTTGGACCATTTACACTGCCTGGCTTTTTTCCCCCTTTATTCTCACCCAAGGACATTTTTTCATTGCTGAGAGAGAAAGAGAGAGAGAGAGATTAGTGCAAGAGAGAAACACTGATTCATTGACTGGCTACCTCGAATATGCACCCTGACCAGGGATCGAACCTGTGAGCTGTGCACCCCTTGGTGCATGGAACATCGTTTGAACCAACTGAGTCACACTGACCAGGGCTGATTTTGACTTTTAACATCCTCCCTAATGATTGATGCTCTGAGAAAACAGCCCACTCCCTGGTCCTGCATCACCAAGTGCGAACATCTGGGGTTATTGTGTTACATTCTTATGTTGTTCTTGTTAAGACCTACAAGGGTCCACCAGAGTGTGAAATCATTTTAAATGTCAACCACTTAGAAATGTAGGAGAAAACCAAGGAGCAGAAATTGTGAAGAAGGCCTTTGGGATACAGGATGAAAGCGATGCTCGGTAGCTCTGAAGACAGCCAACAGCATTGCAGTGACGCACAGAGAACTCCACGTTTGGACGGCTTAACTCCTCTGTGGTTAAGCTGTCAATTCTCCCCAATTTGACTTATGAACTTAATACAACACCGAGCAAAATCCCAGGACGTTTTCTTCGTGACATTGGCGCAGACAGATATATAGATCAATGGAACAGAATAGGGAGTCCAACTACAGACTTGTGTATCACCGTCTGACTCGGGACAAAGGTGGCTTTGCCATGTAGTGGGGAAAGGACTTTTTCCCCTAATAAACAGTGCTGGGCCATGTAGGGAAAAAGGTGAATCTTGACCCTTCATACCTGACACAAATATCAGTTCTAGATGGATTGGAGATCTAAACGTGAAAGGTAAAACAATAATGCTTTAAAAAGAAAAGAAAGGAGACTATCTCCACAACCTGAGGACAAACACAGGTTTCTCAGAAAGAACACGAGTGTGCAGTGCCCATAAAAGGAGGAAATGATCTGTTGGACCCAATACAATCAAGAGCTTCTGTTCATCAGAAGACGCCATGGAGCCCGTGGAAAGGCAAGCTGTAGAGCAGGAGATATTTGTCATACATATCCACAAAGGACTCATACCCAAAATATATTTTTAAACTCCTACAAATCAGTGATTTTTTAAAAAAAGTTCAGAAAACTCAATAGAAAATGGGCAAAAGATTTGGAATAGGTCTTTCATGAAAAAGGATATTCAAATAATGAATAAAAATTTGAAAAACATACAACTTCATTAATAACCACGGAAATGCAATTTTAAACCATCATTTGATACCAGCAAGGCTGGGTGTCCCTTGTCTGAGGCTGCCTTGGTGGTCACCACCACAGCACAGGAGATTTAGGGGAATCTCTGGGAGCTGGGGTGACATGGTCCAAGCCCCCTTTTAGGCCAATCTTAAAAACAGCATTTCCCAATTGAACAAAAATACAATAATTTAAAAATATATTAAAAAAACAGTATTTCCCAGCCTCCTTTGCAGTTATGTATGGCCAGATGACTGAGTTCTAGCTAACGAATCGGTGGAAGTGGTGGGTACCACTATAGGCTGGTGTAGGGCCCCCTCGCCCCCTTTTTTAAAACTCCCTAAGTGAAAGAAATGGAGATGAACCTCAGGGGGACCATGGGGGACACATGTCACGGTTGACAGAGCTCCGTCGGCTTGGCTCCTGAAAAACTCCCTGGAGCAGAGTCCTACCTCATCCCAGGCCTGGCCTGGGACTTCATTGTGCTACTCCATGGCTCATGGCAAGAGCTTAAATTTTGGAATTTATTTGTCACAGAAGTCGGCATTTTCCTAACTAATATACTGATGATGGTGGAAATGTCCTATAGAACCTCAGCTCTTTACTGCTCTGAGTTCGCAGCAGTACGATGGCCTGAGCCTGCACTTATTCCTTACCTGTCATAGGTCATATCTCATTCTTACTGGCATAACTTATATTTAGAATTTTTTTATTATTTAGTAAGTTATATTCTCCCACACTTTGGGCCCTTTGTCACCTTTTGTTTTTTGCCCAGTCACATGGACAAGCAACATCTTTCTATAGTTTTTTCCTTATCATTTGATGACCCGAAGGGGTTGGGGTCGTCTCTGATTTGTATATTGTACATGCACTTCCTATTCCCGATACCTTGTCTCCAAACCTATTGCTCTTGCTGTTTCCTCAAGTCGCTGTAATTTCCACCGAGACTGTTCTCAGTAAGGCTAATAGTAACCCCCTGAATGCTGTACCTAAGCGACTCTTTCAGGTCCTCGTTACACTGGACACCTTTGATACCTCTGATGTAAATTCTCCAGAAAACTCAACTGCCTCCACTTCCTGGCCACCACAGTCTTGCAGTTCTCCCTCTGTCCGTGGGACTATTCCTCCTTGGTCTCCTCAATGGAACTTTTCTCCCCACAAATCTTGGGGTTACTCAGTGATCAATTTTCAGCCCATTTTCTCATCCTGGCTGCTATATCGAATCTCACTGTTTTAAATCTTCCCTGTGGGCTGAGAGCTTCCAAATGCCTTTATCAGCCCTTACTTCCCTGCCCCACCCCCCAGCTTCAGACTGGTTAACATTTCCTCACGCCTCATAGGAATGCCAGCCTTGACATGGACAATATGAATTCTTGTATCCCCAACGTTGTATCCTTGTTTGTTTATGGTTTCACACGGAAACCTTACCACCCTCTCTGGATCCTCCCACTTCTGACTTTCCCTCCAAAATATTATCTCAACTCGTCTCATTCCCTCTCTCTTTAGTCTAACCTAGCCCATATTATTTCTCTCCCGAACTATTGCATTAGCCTTGAATTGTGTTCCCTCAAATTTGTATGTCGAAGTTCTAACTCCCAGCACCTCAGATTGTGACCTTATTTAGCAGTGGGGTCATTGCAGAGGTAATTAGCTAAGATGAGGTCGTACCGGAGGAAGAAGGTAGCCCATAATCCAATGACTGGTGGCCCTATAGAAAGGGGAAATTTGGCCCTGGCTGGTGTAGCTCAGTGGATTGAGCACTGGCCTGTGAACCAAAGGGTCTCCAGTTCGATTCCCAGTCAGGGCTCATGTCTGGGGTGTGGGTGAGGGTCCCCAGATGGGGGTGCATGAGAGGCAACCACCCATTTTTTCTCTCCCTCCCTTCCCCTCTGTCTAATTTTTTCTTAAAAAAGAAGAGGGGAGATTTGAAAAAAGGGTGGGGATTTGGACACAGACACAAGCACAGGGAGAATGTCAGGTAAAGATTGTAGTTATGCTGGCACAAGCCAAGGAATGACTAGAAGCAGAGAGTTCTAGAACTTTCCTAACCCCATCAGCTGGGCCTGGCCAACATCTTCGTCTCAAATTTTAGTCTCCAAAACTGATGTGAGACAGTAAAGTTCTGTTGCTCAGCCCACCCAGTTTGCGGTTTTTCATTAGCGCCACCCTAGGAAACGTACACAGGGTTCCTTTTCCATCTCGTTTGCCCCCAGTTTCCCCGATGATGCGTCACAGCAGAGCGAGTCATCCACAGTCCACGCCTGGCCCAGCCAGCCCCCAGACCGAAGCCTTTCAATGCCTCCCTAACCCATCGCCTATGGACTGTACTCCAGTGTACTTACTGCCATCCACACGGCCCTTGCCTAACTCAGCTCACTCTTTCCTCTCCAGCAAGGACAGCAGCTGGGCTGTTCCCAGGCACAGGATGCCATTTCAGGCTGCTGACCTTTGCCCATTTTTCCAACAACGATGTCCACTCTCCCTAACCCTACCTATTTTTCTGCTCCTTTGGAATTCAGTGCAGACATTCCCAGGTGACCCCTCCTGCCATTCCCCCACCCCACCTGCACCACCAGCACCAGTTCCTGTTGGGGCAGGTGACCTGTCTCAGGTCCTGGGCACCTTCTTCATACCTGTCTTGTGATAGTTTCTGTGTTTTTTTATTAAAGTGATCTCTGCATCTGTTTGCCCAACCAAATTGTGAATTCCTGGACTCTCTGGAACAGTGTGTGCATGTGTGTGTACAAAAGAAATATACTTAAAATAAGGTGAATTCTCCAAATAGTTGGCAGGGGGTGGCATAGGAGGCAGGCGTCTATGGTGTGCATTATGGGTAGGTTGGTGTTCAGAGGCTCGTTATCTCCAAACTTCTTACATCTCTTGCTGCTTTACATTCAAAGGAGCCAAGGTGGGGGCTGGGGAAGCACAAAACCAAGAGTTCCCCACCCCTTCGAGCCCCACTGTAATCCTTGGAAAGAATGCTGAACTGGCCTGTGCCAACAAGACATCCTATAAGAAATGGCTCATTGCCCTTCATCTAATGTCCTGAGTGCTGCGAGAGCTCCAAAGTCACGCAGCCCGGTGGGGGAGTGGGCAGGGGCCAGGCAGCAGGCAGCAGAATGAAGAAATACATTCAACACTAATGCCTGAATTCACTGAGATTCTTCCCACGGTGGCAGCTCTCTTCCCTCCTCCCATCCTAAAGGCATTCTGGCCCCACATGCTCCCCTTCCTCACCTTTGAAAGCCCCCGTTCCTTCTCCGAACCCTTTCTTACCCTTCTGGTCTCCTACCTGTCTGGATCAGGAGAAGGTAGACAAAAGGAGTGAGGCGCAGGACGCTGAAGGCTCTGGACAGGGCTCCCCTTTCTCTCCTCATTTTGGGTGGCGTTCTCCAGCTCTGGTGGAGACAATTAGCATGATTTCTTCACTCTGGGCACGTCCCTTTGTACCACTCAGAGTTTCTCTGCCCGAGCACAACCCTGCCAACTTCCCTCTGAACACACAGAGCTCTGTGTGTTGTTGGGCTTGTTCTTTCTTCTCCTTCAGACCTGGCATTTTCTAGTTTCAAAGCCCTGCATCCCCAGTTCGGAAGGGGGTATCTGGTGAGGAGATAATCTCCAATGGGGGGGCCAACCTCATGGGTCCTGGGGGCCCAGCATTTCTTCTGTCTGTGCTGAGCCCCACACCCGGGGGTGAGATGAGGATTGGGGCTAAATAGGGACTGGGGCAGGACACACGCTAAATTGGACCTTGTGTCCCAACCTATCCTGTCTCCACTGCACACTCCTTGTTCCTGAGAAGGAGAGTGTATGCCAGGAACAGCCCTCCGGAAGGTTTTCAATAGGGAAGGATAGAAGCTTTTATTTTATTTTTTAAATATATTTTATTGATTATGCTATTACAGTCGTCTCATTCCCCCCTTCATTCACCCCCCATCCTGCATACCCCCTCCCACCCACATTTGCCCCCTTTAGTTCATGTCCAAGTGTCATAAATTCTTTAGCTTCTACATTTTCCATACTATTCCTGCTCTCCCCCTGTGTATTATCTACCTACCATCTATGCTACTTATTCTCTGTACCTTTTCCCCCCCTTTCCTCCTCCCACTCCCCTGTTGCTAACCCTCCATGTGATCTCCATTTCTGTGGTTCTGTTCCCATTCTAGTTTTTTCCTTAGTTTGCTTTTGTTTTAGGTTTGGTTCTTAATAACTGTGAGTTTGCTATCTTTTTACTATTCATAGTTTTTATCTTTTTTTTCTTAGATAACTCCCTTTAACATTTCATAGAATAAGGGCTTGGTGATGATGAACTCCTTGAACTTGACCTTATCTGAGAAGCACTTTATCTGCCCTTCCATCCTAAATGAAAGCCTTGCTGGATAGAGCAATCTTGGATGTAGGTCCTTGCATTTCATAACTTGGAATACTTCTTTCCAGCCCCTTTTTGCCTGTAAGTTCTCTTTTGAGAAATCAGCTGACAGTCTGATGGGAACTCCTTTGTAGGTGACTCTCTCCTTATCTCTTGCTGCTTCCAGGATTCTCTCCTTCATTTTAATCTTGGCTAGTGCAATGATGATGTGCCTTGGTGTGTTCCTCCTTGGGCCCACCTTCTTTGGGACTCTCTGAGCTTCCTGGACTTCCTGGAAGTCTATTTCCTTTGCCAGATTGGGGAAGTTCTCCTTTATTATTTGTTCAAATAAGTTTTCCATTTGTTGCTCTTCCTCTTTCCCTTCTGGTACCCCTATAATTCAGACGTTGGAACATTTAAAGATGTTAGGAACCTGGAGGTTCCTAAGCCTCTCCTCATTTGTTTGAATTCTTGTTTCTTCATTCTTTTCTGTTTGGTTGTTTCTTCCTTTTGGTCCACTCCACTGATTTGAGTCCCAGTGTTGTTTCCATCACTATTGGTTCCCTGTGCATTTTGCTTCATTTCACTTAGTGTAGCCTTCATTTGTTCATCTAATTTGTGACCAAAGTCAACCAATTCTGTGAGCATCCTGATCACCAGTGCTTTGAACTGTGCATCTGATAGGTTGGCTATCTCTTGGTTGCTTGGATGTATTGGCTCTGGGGCTTTGATTTGTTCTTCCATTTGAGCCTTTTTTTTGTGTGTGTGGGGGTCTGGTCTCGCCTGTTAAGTATGAGGGGCAGAGCCTTAGGTGTTTACCAGGGTGGGAAAATCCTGTGGCTGGGTTGTGACTCTAAATGTGGGGGCGGGATCAGAGAGAGAACAATGGCACTTGCTTTGCTCTCTCTCTCAGATTTCAGTCCCCTTTGCCGCTTCCCACAAGCAAATTGGGCCTTTCTGATGCTGGTTCCCAGGTGGGTGGGCTTGTGTACATTGTAGGACCCTGTGGGTCTCTCCAGCAAACTCTCCTGTGAAGCTGGGAGCCTCTCCTGGCACCTCAACCCCCACAAGTGTTTTTAATTGGTGCTTTAAGGCTTTATTTCTCAGTGCTGGGGGCCTGAGGTGCACGGTCTGTCTCGTTGCCTATTTTTGTCTGGCTTATCTGCATGTGAATGTGTGACCTTATTCGGCCAACTGCCTTGCATACCTCACTAGGTCTGCTCATTGCCACCCCAAACCTGGGGTCCACCAGCCACTATTTTTTCTGCCATGACCCATCTCCACTGGCCGCTGACTCTGCCTCTCTTACCAGTCTGGATGAATGTTTTGTTGTTGTCGGAATTCTGTGCAGTTCAATTTTCTGTCAGTTCTGGTTGTTCTTTTGTTTCTAAATTTTTGTTGTCCTTAATTTTGGTTGTGCAAGGAGGTACAGTATGTCTATCTATGCCTCCATCTTGGCCAGAAGTCAGATAGGAGCTTTTAAAAGGCTGGGGAATGAGCCCTGACTGGTGTAGCTCAGTTGGTTGGGTGTCATCCCGCAAAGCAAAGGGTCACTGTTTCAAGTCTTGTACATGCCTAGGTTGCAGGTTTGGTCCCTGGCCAGGGCGCATATGAGAGGCAACCAATCGATGTTTCTCTTCCTCTCTCTCTCCTTTCCCCTCTCTCTAAAAATAGATAAATACTTTTTTTTCAAAAGCAGCTGGGGCATGAGAGATTCCAGAGAAATGCTAAAGAAATGGAAAACCCTTCTTCCACCCCAAATGAAGATTGGACCATGGCCTGAATTCTATTATTTTCATACATGTCTGGTTCTACTTGGGGTTCTTTTTCTTATCCTAGAATCATGCAGATGCTGGGGACCTCTCCCCAGAAGCTCCTCTGTTTGTTCCCCAGCCTCCAGCTAATTTTCTATAACACGTCAGAGCAAGGGTAAGGTGGCTCCAGAACAGCCAGCTTGTGGGGCTCTGTCACCAGCTTCTTGGCCTCCTCACCGTTTTTTGTCTCCAGGCTTTGATAAGAAGAGTCACCCCAGCTCTGTCCTGCCCCCTCACTACCATGCCCACCATTCTCAGGAGGGCCATCGTAGGATGGGTGCATCTTGGGGCAGGCTCACCACCCTAACCCTCAATTTTACATCTGTGAAATGGGGAAACAGTAGCTCCCTTTGTAGGAATTGTTGGGAATATTAATAAAGATTTGGTTCAGAGAGTGCCTAAGAAATTCTTTGTTACAAAGACATTATGAAATTTTTAAAAAATGCCTTAAATTTTTTTGTTTTTTCCTGTAGGGAATCATTGTATTGTAATGAAATTAAAGTTTACAGCTCCCCTCTTGGTCATCTCTAACCCTCATTTTAGTTCTGCAGTGGTTATCTCTCAAAAAATACTCATTTTACCTCCTGGAGAGGGCCCAAGTAGGCCAGGTTTCTAGAACTAAAGACCCACCGTGTAGTCCAATGAGCTGAAGGATGGAGAGAAGAGCTGGGAAGAATTGGTTTTGAACTTCACAGAGGAACTCCAAGAAACATTCTGAATTACGTAAATGAGATTTTTTCCCTTTTTGTTTTTCTGTGTCTATAACTTTTTCCCAGACAGCTCAAGGCCATGGCCTGCCTCTTCAAGAGCTAACATTGCTTCAGCCAATAAACAGTGAAAAAGAGAAAGTCAATCTTCAGCTTCTGACATAGTATTTTAGAGTCGGTAGCAAGAAAGCCTTGAAAGCCAAGCTCTGTAAGGGACAAAGGATATTTTAATTTCTTTTATCCACCCCTTTGGAGTATCATAGAACAATGGTCTGTGTGCTGGATAACAGAGTTCTCATACAGAACTATAGACAAATGGCCTCTTTTGTTTGTGATGGCCAGGTCTTAAGGGTTATTGTTTGAGGGTATGAGGAGTATATAACTTTCAGGGAATAGTCTGAAGTCTGCCTTTTAAAAAAACATTTTATTTATTTATTGAGAGAGGGGAAGGGAAGGAGAAAGAGTGGGAGAGAAATATCAATGTATGGTTGCCTCTTATGAGTCCCCACCTGGGAACTGGCCTGCAACCCAGGCATGTGCTCTGACTGGGAATCGAACCGTGATACTCTGGTTCACAGGCCCGCACTCAATCCACTGAGCTACACCAGCCAGGGCTTGAAGTCTGCCTTTTTTAAGCCTGAAGACTGTGGAAAGAAAAATGTGATAGAGGAAGACCAAAGAGGGGTATAAATTCTCAGTATCTCCCCTTCCCCTGCCCTAGAAATAAACTTATACCCTCCTCATACCCATGCAGAGTATGCAAGTGCCTCAACTGCCCAGGGCTCCTTTAGGGGACCTGGATGACCTGAGAGGGTAAAGAACTGGCAGAGGGCAAACTTGGAACAAAGGAGCCACTCTGTGCAGGCAACAATGGGGGCCACCAGTGCCCTGCTGGGAGTCATGCAAGCAGCTGCCCAGACCAGGGAGCCATCAGACTCCTGCAGAGACCAGTGGGAACCCTGAGGTGGGCACATTGTCTCCTTGTGTTGCTGAAAGTTCACCAAAGCCATAGTGCCTGTACTCACACTTACCCTCCTTAGAGAGGAGCCGGGCAGGGGAATGGAATGGGAAAGACCGACTGAGCAATTGCCAGTGTTGTCCAAGCAGAGGCTGAGCTTCCTCAAGGGAATGGCCAAGGGGCTGTAAGACTGAGCTTCTCAGGACAGATTAACGTTTAGTTTTCCTCTGTGGGCCCTGAGGCTCATGGGAAGCTCGCAGCAGCTGCGAAGGCACAGAGGTACCACACTTCCTTTGCGCTTCTGAGTGGAGTAGGAGCAATTTTGCAATCCTGTTTCACCTGTTTTTAAGATGAGTAGACCTATAGAAGTTTAACTTTTTTTATGTATGCTTATCCAAGGACATTTTTTCATTGCTTTTAGAGAGAGGAAGGGGGAGAGAGAGAAACATCGATTGGTTGCCTCCCGTATGCACCTGACCTGGGATCAAACTTGTAACCTATGTGCCTTTACTGGGAACTGAACCTGCAATGTTTTCATGTATGAGGTGACGCTCTAATCAACTGAGCCACCTGGCCAGGGCAACATTACTTTTTTTAACTCCAAAAGTGTATTTATACTTGTCAGTCTGACTGCCCAGCTTTTGAAT